AGGAATGAATTATATTCCCCTGCCTGCCTGCTGCTTGAGCAAGAGAATCACACCGCTCAGCTGCACTGGCCTCTTCTACCCCTAAACGGGAACACTCCCGGCACACCCTGTCATTCACCATTCGCTGCTCAGAGAGAGGAAAATGGCAGAGCAGGAGCTGGTTTCACACCACTGTCCCCTCTCCTCCCAGGGTGTTGCTCCCAATAGGTGGGGAGCCGGGCTAGGGTAAAGCAGGGGCCGTTCTCCTCACATTAGCTGCCACTGCACATTGTGGGGGGGCAAAACCACCCGACACCCAGGCCCAAAGGAACCCTTGCTAGAGGCCAGCCAGAGCTGGTACGCAGCTCGTTACGAAGCACTTCACCACGCTGCAGCCGGCCAGGGAGCTGGCACGGTCACTGCCCTACAACGTCAGCATCTCAATGCGGCATTTACCGGTCTGAGACCTGCAGAGAGGAAGAGACAGAGCATGACTGGAATGAAGCTGGCTTGCCATGGCACGAGTACTTCGGGATGTCAGCCGTGCACATGTTGTGGGGGAAGGAGCCTCTGCGCCAATGTTGGCCTCTGCCTCCCACAGATTGTTCTAGCTTCAGGGGCTTGAGGGATGTGCAGACAGGGGAGGCCCGGCTGTGGGAAGATGCCCACCCAAGGACTGTGCTTGTTCCTGCACCAGCAGGGAGACAACGGGATGGTCCACGTGCTTCCATCCCAGAGCCCACGTGCACGGAGCTAGGACAAGGGCACACAGGGAACGGAGGTAGGACAAGGCAATTGCGAGCTCATTCCCTCTTCCACTGCAGCAAAGCTGGGAATGGGGCCAGAGCTTGGCCTTAGGCCCAGCTTTAGGGGTGAGCCATCCCAGCAATTGCCATGGGGATAAGACATCCCGCCGGGCTGAATGAAGTCATTGTACCTACGGAGCAGCAACGGATATTGGTCACTGTGCAGGTGGGAGGAGGGAGAAGCTCCTGCCTTGGCGTCCACTTGAGGCCCCAAGAGCCCAATGCTGGCTTGTCTTGTAATGACACATCGCTCCTCCCCTGGCTCCCCGTCAAGGTACTGACACTGGGGCTGCATCCAGTCCCCGAGAACCACAGGGCCTGTTTCAATTTGATGTAGCTGAGGCCACTCCTAACTGTGCAGAGGAAACCCTGTCAGAGGGCATTAGTCAGGACATGGTGTATATCGAAGGGACAGTGCTGCAAGATGCTGAGCCCCCTTAGCCCCGGTCAAAGGCACTAGGAGGCGAGGGCAGTCAACCCCATAAAGGAGCCCCAGGCAGAAGTGTCTGACGAATTTGGTTACTTCCCTACCCTTCGCAAGAGCAAGCAATGACAGCTGTCTGCTCTGCAGTGGCAGCTGTGCACAGACACCTGCTGGAAAGGGTTAACCAGCCAGCCAAGGAGACTGGAGGCCAGACAGTCCCAGCATCGCTCAGGGCTGGCATGGGATTTCAGTGGGAGGATACGGAGGGCTGGTGACTTATGCCAAGTTTCCTGTTGGAAACCTGATGACGAGCCAAGACCGTGTGGGGCAGCTGAGGCGAGAGACCAAACAACACCAACACTCAGTGGATGAGAGGTGGTGAAACCCTGGTTACTAATTACCCTTTAAAAATAGCAGCCTGCTAGGAGCCCTGGCGGAGCAGAGAGAGGCAAGCGGGCCGCTGTGCAACGGATGTGGAACACGAACTATGGTTCAAGTTGCAGTTGGAGTCAGAGCTGTATTTTTACTGCCTTGCCATTGCTCCGAGGAGCAGCAGGGCTTTGGCAAGGATGTGGCTGCACTGACTCAACAGCCGAGGGGGAATTTTTTTGGAGAGAGGCTGACAGTGTTTTAAGTCACAGGTTGCTAAAGAAAACTCACTGTGATTGGAAACATTGACTGGTGTTGGAGGCGTTTTCATCTTGCTCCTGTTCAACGGCTGCTTGTTGAAACCCCTGCAAACTTTCCACCTCGCAGCAGCTCCTGAGGTGGAAAAACAAAGTGCGATTAAAGCAGCGGTAGTAGTGATTGCTGCATCCATCAGAGACGCTGGAGGAGGAGCTGGTTAACTAGTGACAGGGTCGATCTTGGATTATATGGACACTGGAATCAGTTCCTGCTCAGCATCAGATCAGGAGAGGGAGGAAACCTCATCCCCAAATAACCCTGCTGGTCCCTGGCTCTAACCAGTCACTACTTTTGTGGCCAAGGAATGAATTTCCCCTCAGCTCTGTACATTCACCTGTGGTCTGTGTTACAGTTTGCTAAGCGTCTTTCTCAGACCGTGCCCACCTTGGTCTAGGGAAGGGAGACCTCCGTATTGGGGTCACCCTCTCCCAGCTTAGTCATCTAGGAAACAGGCTTGAAGCAGAGATACCATGGACCAGTATCAACTCAACCAGCAGGTTGCCGCTGCCAAGGTAGAAACATGCCAGCATGCAACCCAGCATGGGAGCAAGGATGCTGGGGTGGGCACTCATGCAAACCACCCCACCGTCTGCTCTGGCCTACCCTGCCTTACCTCCACTGCTGCCAGCTGTCAAATTTTCGAAGGCAAGACCAAGGGACATCCGAGACCTGTCTAACTTTCCTTAGGCTTAATTGGAGTCTCTCTGCTCTTGCAGACTAAATTGGCCAGAGCAGAGACCTGAGCTGCTGCAGCTAGACTGCTTCGCTACCCAAGAGGCCTAAGGTCTCTTTTCAGGGCCAGGGCCACGCTGGATTCACCTTCCCTTCATTACTCTGCACTCCCTGGTGGAGACCTCCTGTTGAGGCCGCTCCTGGCAGTGTCATCTGGATTCTGGCTGCAATCTGTGCTCGCTCCAGTCTGTTTTCTAGGGCAGGAAGGAAGGATTTCTAGAAACCCTCTTCCATTAACTTTCTAATGCACCAGTAAAATAGTACAAGAACTGGATTCCTCACACTTGTCTACAGAAGATTATGTTAGTAGGAACCCAGTGAAGAACTTGAAAATCAACCACCCCACCAATCCTTCCAAACCTTTGTTCACAAGGATTTGGGACTAGCAGTATTTTTTTTAAGGGAATTTCACTTTTCTTTCTTCAAAACACACTCATTTGTAGTTGCCCTTTTTCAGATCTATGCTCTCCACAACTGAAATAAGAGCAAAACCCACCAACCAGGACTGAATTACTGTAGAAAGCAAAGAGGTCCATAATCTTAAATTTTGAAAACCATTCTCTCTTTGCAATAGACGGGCTTAATGGAGTCCCGAGTGCAATGGATGCATTTGGAAATAAGAACAAAAGCTTACTTTTGCCCATAAAATCCAACGTGGCTTTTGGGTGTCCTGCAGTTTTAAATGCCTGCCAAGAGCGTGAAGTTCGTTGCAAAGATCCAGCCCATTTATGTCAGAGGATCTCTCTTCACCTGCCTGTCCCATCTTCCAATGCTTTGCTTAAAACAATGCACTGCTGTTGTAATCCTTTGTGGGGCATCTGGGATGTTTCAGGGATTATGCAAAAAGCTGCACAGCCAACAGTACCCGTGGTGTTGTGAAAATCTTTAGGCAGGTGTGCACCAGGATCCAACACAAAATAGAAAACAACAACTTTGCAGTTCTTTCCTGGATTATTGAAGGGATCATCTGTGGCCCCTAAACCGGCCCTTCTACCTTTTAGTTTGCATTCCTGTAGGGAATGAGCTTGACGGTCCAGCTGATCTGCCAACTCCGTAGCCCCAGTCAGGACACTTAGTATCAGAACAATTATTTTCCGGAAAATCCTCCAAGACTTTTAGCTGATGCATCATTTGCTTGACATATCCTTGTTTCTCAGAGCTTTTGACTCGCACTGTGAGCTGCGTAAACTCTGTCATACTACCATTGCACTGCATGGGGATTTATAGTTGCACATCAGGCGAGTCAGCTATTCAGTATCACTCCAAGTTTGGGTTTCCCAGGGTCCCTTTAGGTGCGAATCACCGGCTACTCAAGTGTAAAGCATCATCAGCTCCTGAAAGGCAGTACAGTATTGAAATACTTGGATTGCATTGAGCTGCCTTTTCCATCTTGTTTGTGGCCACGTGCTGCACCCCAGTGCTGTGCTAAGATAGCAAAAGAACTGAACAATCATTGAACCACATCAAACACATCACTGCAACAACTGAGCCCTGTCTCGAACCCCAGGCCAGGCAGTGACATCAGGACGCTCTACGTGTCCCAGCTCCCAAACTGGAAGCAGCAGAGCCACCTTAGCTCGGCACCGAGAGGGAGCTCGGAAGAACATGGCTCTGCTACTTCCATCATGGCGCTGTGCTGGGTTAGCCCGGGAGCCTGCCGCAGGCCTGGCAAGAGGATCACGAGGGAGACCGAGTGAAGGGCCATGCATGGCGTGGGAGGGAGGCTGGCTGCGGTGCATTAGGTGGGGCTGGAGAATACATGAGCTGTAGGATCAGGGAAGCTAAGAATCTCTCCAGTAACCGAATAACATGTGGAAGATTGAGGCAGAAATATTTCCCCCCTCGATCTGTTTCCAAGAATTTGAATGGTTTGCTTTGACCCAGGTGACAACCGTGCATTTTCTCCGAGGCCATTCAGAGACAGTCCCTACTCACTAGATCCAATTTCCCAAGTAACTCCACACATCTCAAAACATTTCCCTGCTGTGCGATGAACGGAGGTGGTCTGTGGAGGTCGGAAGGGAACGCTTCGTATCCTGGGCCGCCTGATCAAATCAAAGACCTTTCCCTATCAGGAAATAATTTGCCACTGGCTTTCTTTATTGATCATGCATCCTTGCTTTGTTCATATACTTAAGTCTCTCCAAATATGATAGCTGTTCACACTATCTGCAGATTTCTCATATTTCACTAAGGTAACACAATATGTTTTCCCAGACAGAAATAATACATAAAATCGGTATAAGTGATCATCAGGGATCTTGGTATTCTCTGTTTAAAAATTGCAAATTCTCCGATTAAAAACCCCCGGAGCCACGCTTTTTCCGTAATTAAAATGAAATGCCACTATATATATCAGTATTAGTTAAACACAATATTTGATTGATATATTTACAATTTTAAAACAATTTGGAAGTGCCTCAACCACTATAATAAAATAAATTCCTAAATACATTTCGGCATTTGATTTTGGATTTTTTCATCATGGAAAGTCAGAGCTCCCCCTTCCCCCTCCAGGATGCGGGTCTAGCTGTGGCTGTCCCCTCCACTGCTTTGTGGCACTGACCAGCCCTGATATGCCGGAGCCCTGCCCATGCCATTGCCCCTCACTCCCCACCCACAGCCTCCTGCTCCCCCAGCCCTGCTGGATGGGGCTCCCAGCTGCCTGGGCTACGAGGCTAGAGACCTGGGTCTGCAGCCCCCTGCCCCGAGCCCTGGCTACCACCCGTGGAGCAGACTGGAGCACAGATCCTGGCTCCCTCTCCCCGGCAGGAGGCGGTGTGTGGAAATGTGAGCTGCCTTCTGTGGCCTGGGGCTCCCCACCCTGGTCCCCTTCCCCCGGGGCCTCTGGGACCCAGCAGGTGGGACCTGGCGTGGCAGGACAGGGCAGAGCAGGGCAGGAAAGCTCAGTGCCGCTACTGGGAGCCCTGCACTGTCATGGTGAGGCACCCTGTCTGCCCAGCAGGACCGAGGGACATAACTGTGCCACCGCCTCTGCTGCTGCTGGATGGGCAGGGGGCACCTTGCCATGGCAGCGCAGGGCTCGCAGCAGTAGCATTGAGCTTCCCCGCCTTGTTCTGTCCTGCTGTGCCAGGTCCCGCCTGCCGAGCTGCAGAGGCCCCAAGGAGAGGGCAGCAGGGCAGAGAGCCTGAGCCTGCAGTGGGCAGCCTGCTCCTGCCTCGCACACAAATCTGGGGGGGCACATACCCCCATAACCCCCCCCCCC